CTCTCTCTCTCTCTCTCTCTCTCTCTCTCTCTCTCTCTCTCTCTCTCTCTCTCTCTCACACACACACACACTTCACTCATATAACGGATTTTTGAATTGACAGAACGTTTATCTAAATTATGGTGAGATTTGTGCGAATATCAAACAACTGATGGATGAGTTTCAAACGAAGACCAAGAGTCAGAAAAAAGTTGAGTCAATCGCAGACATGAAGTCATTTATCGAAACGTATCCACAATTCAAGAAAATGTCGGGAACTGTCACTAAACACGTGACTCTAATCGACGAACTTTTTAGACTTATTTCTACCCATAATTTGTTTGAAGTGTCGGAAACGGAACAGGAGTTGGTCTGTCAGTCCGATCATTCAGAATCTCTTAAAGTATATTTGTTTACTATTTTATACGTGTTATAAACATTTTACTGTTTTTTGCTGTAAAAATTTTATTAATTTTTTAATAATCTTAAATGAACAGAAAGTTAGAAAACTGATAACAAGTGATAAGATCCGTGACTTGGATGCGCTCCGTCTGGCCATGTTATACGCCCTGCGGTTTGAAAAGCATAGTAATAACGATAACCAGAGCATCGCTGAGTTGCTTAAAAAGAGAGGCATTAGTGATAAACAAATAAAAGTAATACATTTCACTAATAAAATAGATATTTTGATAAATTGTTGACTTAATCTTACAGTTGGCTTCTCTTGTGGTAAACTTTGCGGGAACTAAACGTCAGACACCGATCACAGCGACTGAGCTGTTGAGTACAGATCACGTGAAATCATTTACTAAGAAAATGATTAAAGGCTTGAAAGGCGTGGAGAATATATATACACAACATTCCCCTCTAATTAAAGAGATCATTGAAGACTTGGCCAAAGCGAAACTCAAAGAAGTTCTTTATCCATATTTGGGAACAATTCAATTGCGTGAAAAACCGCAGGAAATTATTGTCTTTATGATCGGCGGCACCACATATGAAGAGTCCTGCGCTGTCTATGAGCTCAATAAGAGCCTAATGGGTGTGAAAATACTGTTGGGCGGAACCACTGTTCATAATTTCAAGTCTTTTACCGATGAGTTAATCCATGGATCAAATCCATTGGGTTCGGGATCGCCATCTTTTTCCGATAGGAATAGAATTTTATGATGAATTTATTAAAATTTCGTTTATGTTATGTCTCTATAAATATCGTATCATTTATTTAAATGTTTCTTTTTTTAGTAAATTGAGTGATAAATAATTTAATTATATTTATATTTATTTGTTATATTTCATAACATATGATAAATTCATAATAAACGAGATATTAATGACCACATGTTTAACTCTAACGAATCAATGATTATCTTAAGCCTACAATTTGAAGTACATATTGTATGAAACGCTGTATTCTAAGCCTTTTACTACTATATTGACATTCTTTACAATAACATTAATTTGTTATATTTAAATACATTTATTGTCACTGTTCTGAATCATTGTAAATGTTATATAATTTATATTATATTTATGTGTTTAATATTAAACACTTTTTAACTTAAATAAATTTTACAGTTTATTGATAATATTCTAAATATATTACAATTAATTAATTTTAAGAACTTTGCCGTGAGTTTAAGAGTTGCCTTAAAGTTTGAATTAAGTTACTTTCCGGTGTAAATGCCAGTCGTGTGTTATCGTCTCCAAATCAAGCCATCAAACATCAGACTTGCTATATATTCACAAAATCCTGAAAAATTCATTTTAAAAGTTAGAATTCTATGTTATTTAATACAAACATTAATTTTGAGAGAGAGAGAGAGAGAGAGAGAGAGAGAGAG